AAAAGAAAAAAAAGCCGTATGGTGCTATCCGTTTGCAATGCAAAGGAAGGTAGGGGAGGTGATTTTTAGACCAGCCTAATCCAAACGTCAGCCTTTCCAAGGTTGCAATCCGATCAATAGGTGTCCCTGCCTTTAGCAAGCGGACGTGGACCGCACACGCATCATTACCAGTGGGCACAAAATTTTTGATAAACTTCTCACTGGGTACATACCAAGGACTGGCCGCCTCCCTCCCACAAAGAATGCAGCCTTATCCAAGCAGGTCACAGACTGGAACGGCAGTGGCCCTGTGGCCCCGAAGGAGGGGGGGTGAAAACGGCAGTGATGACTTCTGATCATTGGATCCGGCTTGCCACACTGATGTTTAAGTTACAAGCTTTCCACTACCCCTCCACCCTCGGAGGCGTAGTTTACATTATAAACTGATGCTGCTGCATAGGTCAGCAAAGAAAGAAAGAAAGAGACTCAAAACTGAAAAGATGTCGCCCTAGGGTTGAATTCTCTGGTGGCATGGCTACAGTTTGCCTTGCCTCAGAAGCGCAAGACCAGACTGATTGCGATTTGCATTCTGGCACACAGGTTAGCACGAACTGCTAGAATGAAATTTTGAGCTCAGTTGGTATGGTACACCCATGAGCTCTTGGTACGGTACACCCATGAGCTCTTGAAATACAGACCAGGTCCTGAGTTCAAATCCAGACGGAACTCGACAAATGAAACCGAAATTCCGAGCCCAGAACCTCAGCCCTATTGAGCTAACAGCTGCAGGAAGGAAATGAGGTAGGCTAATAACGACTGCCGGAGGGAAATCGGATCTGTATCCGGTTTTCTTCCTTTGTTTTGTCAGAAGGACATTGCTCCAACCTATTCGTGGGGAGCAGCACGTGATGGGAACCAGGCCCAGTGTCCCTTATGCAATTACAGAGAACAAGGTAAGGTACCGAGCAGCACCTGATGGGAACCAGGCCCAGTGTCTCTTATGAAATTACAGAGAACAAGTTGAAGGTACCCGGCACCGGGCCATTAGCCGGCATCTGTATCTGATTTTTTATTCGGACGGCAGCACCACGCCACAAGACTTGGCAGTGGAGCAGCCTCAGGCAGGTAGTGAGGAAGAGGATAAGGCTTACGGGAGAAGAGCCAGGACGCACCGATGATATGTTCGCGTGCTCAAAGCATGAACCAACCCGTACTTTTCCTTCTTCGTGTAAAGGAAGTTCCTTTACAGACATCGATAGTTCTTTTCCAGATATGGACACACACCCCTTTCAGCTTGAAAAGCACCAGCCTGACCGTACTTTTTAAAACAAAGAAAAAGGAAGTTCTTTTAGCGGTAGACATGTACATCTTCAGCCTGACTCACTCTTTTGATGCTTGCCGTCTTCCCCCTAACAACACATACCCTCATTTCGCCTGTTCCTGACCGGAAATATAGGTTGTATACATTCATTATCAGGGTGCTTTATGTTCGGGGGAAGACGGTAGCACATACCCTCATTTCGCCTGTTCCTGACCAGAAATATAGGTTGTATACATTCATTATCAGGGTGCTTTATGTTCGGGGGAAGATGGTAGCCCGTGTCTATCCTAAGCCTCAGCCACTCGGCCATACAACATCTTCACCCGATCAATCTCCCCGTTATCATAGCTGTATTTCGACTGAAAGAATGTCTCAAATGAGGCTCATCCATTACCAAAGACTTTCCCTTAAGTGGATATGTGAAAGCACGATAGGATGGTACAGAGAAAGGTGTGATTTATGAGCCTATGGAAATGACTCAAGAATTCCCTTATTTAGATTTCTCGAGTTCTTGGGTCCCTGGAGATGAATTAATCAAAAAAAAAAAAGAAGTAATCGCATGAAATTTATGAACAATTTGCTGAAGGGCGTTCTATTCCGGTGAAGATGGTCAGCATACTATATTATTCAGAACGTAACAGTGCAGCCAATCAAGCATAAGAAAGCCTGTGAACATAGCACAAGTGGGCCCTGCCTTCCAAGTGGTGCTGGTTCAGGGTCATTGCAGGTCAGCATAGACCAGGCGTAGGTTAGGGAAAGGAGTAGGTTATGCATTGGGCGAGTGTGCATGTGCGATCCGATTCTCTCAGTAATTTGATGTCATATAATGCTGAAGCTTCTCCTAGAAATTTGTTGCCTACCTGCCACATGTGCGATCCGAT